ACATCTGTATGGTTGTTTCTCAAGCTTTTGTTTTGGTACTATAGAGCTGGAGTGCAAGCACATGGGAGCAAGCTTTGAAAAAGAAAGAACAGCGTGCCTTCAATAATCACTGCCAGCATTGCTCCTTTTAAGCAGGCCGTATCTCTGAACCAGCAGTTTTTCCTTCAGCCTCCAGTGAAGCCAGCATGTTTAAGGATCTTGGTGAATCCTTAAACACATTGGCTTAGCTGTGACATTCAATGTTACTCCTGAACAAATATTTAATCTTGGGTTGTATTATTATTTTCTGGATCAAACTGTGAAGGAAAAGCTTGGTATTCCAAACTTATTTGTAATTTCATTCCACACTAAAGGCCCTTCCACACAGCCTTTTATCTCAGAATGTCAAGGCAGAAAATCCAACAATATCTACTTTGAACTGGGTTATCTGAGTCCACGCTCAGATAATGTGGGATTTTTGCCTTGATATTCTGGGATGTTGGGCTGTGTGGCAGGGCCCTCAGTGGTCAACTCTGCCAGAAAATGAGTCTATTTGATGCACATCTTTGTGCTTCTTATCTTCCCTTTTTGTATTTTGCCATTTTTCTTGATTCCCCTTCTACCTCCTCTTATCCAGTCTTCCTGGCAAAAAGAGGTAAACCAGGGGACTTATTCTGATCTCTGCTGAAAGCTGTTTCTCAAACCCATTGTTGAGCTGACTGATTTTTCAGTGCCATGCATATTTCCCTTTGGGATTTAAAAAAAAGCCTAAAATGTTGTTCTTCCAATCAGCCCTGGCTTATTAGAAAAGCCACGGAATTTCACAGCCATACTGTAATACCATATGACCCCCATATTCATGGAGATACATTTCTGAACTTACTGTAGAAATAGGAAATGGCGGATAACAACAAACCCTATGGAAATAGATTACTTCTGACAGAAGTCACCATAAGTCATGTTGAAGGATCTATAAAATCTATTGAGTGGTTCTTGAGAGCAATTCTATGGTAACCTCCAGCAGAAGCATTCTATAGAATTCCCTGGAAGACCTAGAAAATACCTAGAGAAGATATATTTAGTTATATGTAAAGGTTTCCCCTTGACATTAAGTCTAGTTGTGTCCGACTCTGGGGGGTGATGCTAATCTCCATTTATAAGACGAAGAGCCGGCATTGTCCAGAGATGCCTCCAAGGTCATGTGGCTGGCATGACTGCATGGCGCACTTACCTTTCCGTCGAAGCAGTACCCATTGATGTACTCACATTTGCATGTTTTCAAACTGCTAGGTTGGCAGAAGCTGGGCCTAACAATGGGAGTTCACCCCGCTCCCCAGATTCAACCACTGACCTTTCAGTCAACAAGTTTAGCAGCTCAGTGGTTTAACCTGCTGCACCACGGGAGCTCCTTAGTTATATGCGAATAGGTTAAACCTTAAGTACTAGTCCTGAAGGTATGGAGGATGTACTGTATTTAATTTTTCAATGACCTCACTACCAATCACTTGCATTGCACATATATACTTGAAATTTTGGATTATATTTCAGGTAGTTCATTTTTTTCAGAGGAATCTTGCTTGTTTCTTGCTGCAGAAAATTACCAGTATGTTAAGAGTATGTGGCGTTAAGTCAAACTTCAACTTATGGGGAGCCCATGCATGAGGGTCCTGTTGTTAACAGGCCTGGGTAGGTCTTGGAGACTCCATGCTCGGGCATCCTTACTTGAGCCAATCCACTTAGCAGTGTCACCTTTTTTGAATGAGTCATGTCACCAAATGATATGAGCAAAGTCCAGTAGCTGCAGGCCACCACCTATATTGACCATTTAAAGCAGTTTAAAGCTAGCTTCAAACTGTGGCAGCCAGACAACAGAGACCCATAAAAGTGTGTCAGTGCTCTGTGGTTTGTGTAATCATCACCCAGGCCTTAAACTGGATGACCATCTGCACAGATCATCATCCAGTTTCTTCAACAATAGTTTGAAACTGCATTAAACTGTCAGTGTAGATCTGGTCATTTTGACTTCTGGAAAAATTCTGGCTTGATTTGCCCTTGGACCCATTGATTTGATTTTTTGAAAGTGCCTGGTGTCCATAGAACTCTCCCTCAGCACCATATTCCACCTAATGTGATGCTTTTTTTGCCAGCTTTCTCCACTCTCCAGCATTCACATACTATAGCATAGATCAGTGGTTCTCAACGTGTGGGTCCCCAGATGTTTTGGCCTTCAACTCCCAGAAATCCTAACACCTGGGGACCCACAGGTTGAGAACCACTGGCATAGATGATCTTGACTGTCAACTGCGTATCTTTACACTTGAGGATCTTATGTACTTCCTACAAAGCTAGCTTTCTGTTCAGTCTTCTGACTGTATTTGGGCTGAGAAATGAGCCAAGGTGTAGGAAAACCTTGAACATTTTCAGTGTTTGCATCAGTGTATCCTACCATGAGTGCTTCAGTTGACCTATGCACCCTGAGCACCCCAAGAAGCCCTGGTAAACGTGCCCCAAGCCACCAGTTTGACATTGCTTTAACTGCCATGGCTCATTGCTATGGAATCCTGGAGATTATAATTTTGCAAGGTCTTTATCCTTCTCTGCCAAAGAGTGTTGGTGCCTCACCAACCAATGGCCTCTTCCACACAGTTGAATAAAATTCCACATTTTTTGCTTTGAAGTGGAATATATGGCAGTGTGGGCTCAGATAACCCAGTTCAAAGTGGATATTGTGGGATTTGCTGCCTTGATATTCTGGATTATATGCCTGTGTGAAAGGGTCCCACTTGTACTTGTTTGAAACAAGTTTTCTTTTTTTACATCTTTGTGTTTTTACCTATGTGACTTATTGCATATACTTTATATACAACTGACCGCCTTCAGCCATGAGGAAAGGTGGGTAAGAAATCAAATAATAATAAGGGAGAGAGGGAGGGAGAAATAATAATAATAATGTTCATTTGTTTTTGACTTTGTTGTACCTCGCCTTGAGCCATCAGGAGAGGCAGGTAATAAATAACATTTATTATTATTATTATTATTATTATTATTTTCATAGGTTTTTACATTGTTGTCCTTTGCCTCCAGCCATCAGGAGAGGCAGGCAATAAATAAATAAAGAATAATAATAATTATTATTATTACTACTAGCTGTCCCCTGCCTTGCATTGCTGTGGCCCAGTCTGGTAATCTGGAAAATGGGGGTTCTGTGTGGGAAGTTTGCCCCAATTCTTTCGTTGGTGGGGTTCAGAATGCTCTTTCATTGTAGATGAACTACAAATCCCAGTAATTACAACTCCTAAATGTCAAGGTCTATTTCCCCCAAACTCCATCTATGTTCATATTTGGGCATATGGAATATTCATGCCAAGTTTGGTCCAGATCCATCACTGTTTGAGTTCACAGTGCTCTCTGGATGCAGGTGAACTACAACTCCCAGACTCAAGGTCAATGCCCACCAAACCTTTCTAGTGTTTTCTATTGGTCATGGGAGTCCTGTGTGCTACATTTGATTCAATTCCATCATTGGTGGTGTTCAGAATTTATTTATTTATTTATTTATTTATTTATAAATATATTTATTTATTTATACAATCAGAATGCTCTCTGATTGTAAGTAAACTATAAATCCCAGCAACTACAACTCCCAAATGACAAAATCAGAAAATGTTGAATGAAGGACATACATTGGGTTGTTAGGTATATGCTGTCCAAATTTGGTGTCAATTCGTCCAGTGGTTTTTGAGTTATGTTAATCCCACAAACTAACATTACATTTTTATTTATATAGATATTCAGTTCTTGTGGGTTTTTTCGGGCTATATGGCCATGTTCTAGAGGCATTTCTCCTGACGTTTCGCCTGCATCTATGGCAAGCATCCTCAGAGGTGAGGTCTGCTGGAGCTGGGAAAAAGGGGTTTATATATCTGTGGAATGACCAGGGTGAGACAAAGGGCTTTTGTAAGTTGGGCTGGGTGTGAATCTTTCAACTGACCACCTTGATTAGCATACAATGGGCTGACTGTGCCTGGAGCAAACTCTTCTTGAAGGGTGATTAGATGTCCCTGTCTGTTTTTCTCCCTGCTGTTTTTGCTGTTGCAATTTTAGAATTTTTTTAATACTGGTAGCCAGATTTTGTTCATTTTCATGGTTTCTTCCTTTCTGTTGAAATTGTCCACATGTTTGTGGATTTCAATGGCTTCTCTGCGTAGTCTGACATGGTGGTTGTTGGTGTGGTCCACCATCACCCAAGTCAAAAAAGAAGCACCATCAAAGCCTTGGCAGACCGTGCAAAAAGAATCTGTGAACCCCACCTCCTCCAAGAGGAACTGAACCACCTCAACTGGGCTCTACAGGCCAATGGATATTCCACCTCAGACATCAGAAGAGCTGCAAGACCAAGAACAAGCCACGAGAGTCAAGATGAAGATCCACCCAGAGGAAAAGGCAGGGACATCTAATCACCTTTCAAGAAGAGTTTGCCCCAGGCACAGTCAGCCCATTGTATGCTAATCAAGGTGGTCAGTTGAAAGATTCACACAGCCCAACTTACAAAAGCCCTTTGTCTCACCCTGGTCATTCCACAGATATATAAACCCCTTTTTCCCAGCTCCAGCAGACCTCACCTCTGAGGATGCTTGCCATAGATGCAGGCGAAACGTCAGGAGAAATGCCTCTAGAACATGGCCATATAGCCCGAACAAACCCATAAGAACTGAGTGATTCCGGCCATGAAAGCTTTCGACAATATATAGATTATTATCATCATCATATGTTTTTGATTTTGTTGTGCCCTGACTCCAGCCATCAGTAGAGGTTGGTAATAAATAATTTATCATGATGATGTTCATATGTTTTTGACTTTATTGTACCCCGCCTCTTGCCATCAGGAGAAGCAGGACATAAATACAATGTATTCTTGTTATTGTTGTGAGAGTTTGCCAGGCTGCTTCACGCCAGGTTCCGACTTGATTACCCGGCAGAGAAGGCGGCAGACCTGGTGAAGCCAGTCCCGATTGGGGCCAAAACTGCCTTCGTTCCCTAGTGTAGACGCGAAGAGGAGGAGGAGGAGGCGGAGCGGGACGAGCTCCAGTCCGGGTTTTGAGCTGGAGAAGAGAGAGAGCGAGAGAGGCAGAGAGAGAGAGAGAGCCGCAAGGAGGAAAGGAAACAGCAGCAGCTCGCCGGAGCCCCTGCCTGCCTGGGTCCGCCCGCCAACAGCTGGGAAGGAAGGAAGGCAGGCAGGAGAGGAGAGAAGGCAGGCGGCTCTCCCGATGGCTGGGGCATCCTCCGGGCGCCCGGCCTCGGCCCGGCTGTGAGCCCCCGCCCGGCCGTCCTCCGCCCGCCCAGCCCAGCCTTCCCCGCCCAGCCCAGCCTCTCCCGGGGCCCCGGCCATGCAAGCGCGGCGCCTGGCCAAGCGCTCCAGCCTCGGGAGCCGGCGCTTGACCATCTCCACCTCCTCCACTTCCTCCTCCGCGGCGGCATCCTCCTCCTCGTCGTCCCCGAAGCCGGAGCCTTGCTGCTGGAGGCCGACGCGGAGGGAAGGCGCCTCTGCGGCCGCCCTCGAGGAGGAAGAGGAGGAGGAGGACGCGGCGGCGGCGGCGGCGGTGGTGGACGCCGAGGAGGAGGACGAGGAGGAGGCCGCCGAGGGAGCCCACGCCGCCGGGCACAAGGGCAACCTCAAGGTAAGGCAAAGAGGGGAAGAGAGAGGGCTCTTCTGGCCGGACAGCCTTCAAGGGAAGCCAGGCTGTGGCGTCCTCAGGCGGCGAGGGAAAGCGGGACGGCGCCGGGGTCACGCGTTGGGCAGCAGGCGGCGTGGCGGAGGGAGGCGGGACGGAGCTCAGCCCTCCGCTTCTTCTTCATCATCAGCATCATCATTATTTTTCTTCGTTCCCCGCCAAGCCTTGGAGGCGATGAGATCATGCAGAGGGGAGGGGGCATCTGAGCATACCCAGAGTCCCCTTCCACCACGACCCGGTTTCTCCTCCCCATCTGTTTGCTCGGGTGAGCATACCCAGAGTCCCCTTCCACCACTAACAGGTTTCTCCTCTCTGGATGGGAGAATCATGCATTCCCTTTTGGGAGGGGAAAGTCCCGGCTCTCTTTGGGAGCGTCTGCACAGTGAAATTAACCCGGTTTCACTCCTACTCTTAACAACCACGCTGGGGAACCTGCATAGTTATGAATGTAGCTTGGCATCATTCTAACTGCCAAGGTGCACTGCTATGGAATGGATGCATCTGCACTGTGGAATTAATGCACTTTGACACCACTCTAACTGCTAGGGATGAGTGCTATTTTTATGAATGCAGTTTGGCACTATTATAACTGCCAAGGTACATCTGCACTGTAGAATTAACCCACTTTGACACCACTCTAATTGCCATGGCTGAGTGTTATGGAATCTGCATTTTTGCATGAATGTAATTTGGCACCATTACAACTGCCAAAGCTCAATGCTATGGAATCGGTGCATCTGCACTGTAGAATTAATACACTTTGACACCACTCTAACTGCCATGGTTGAGTGCTATAGAACTTGCATTGTTATGAATGTTTGGCACCATTGTAACTGCCAAGGCGCATCTGCACTGTAGAATTAGCACACTTTGACACCACTCTAACTGCCATGGCTGAGTGCTATGGAACCTGCATTGTTATGAATGTAGTTTGGCACCATTGTAACTGCCAAGGCGCAATGCTATGGAATTGGTGCATCTGCACTGTAGAATTAATACACTTTGACACCACTTTTACTGGCATGGCTCAGTGTTATGGAACCTGCATTGTTATGAATGCAGTTTGGCACCATTATAACTGCCAAGGTGCAATGCTATGGAATCGGTACATCTGCACTGTAGAATTAACACACTTTAATACCACTCTAACTGCCATGGTTGTGTCCTGTGGAATCTGGTTCTGGCCCAACTTACCTGTCTAAATACATCTCCCCTTATGAACCATATAGTACCTTAAGATCGTCTGGGGAGGCCTTGCTCTCGGTCTCACCTTCATCACAAGTACATCTGGTGGGGAAGAGAGGCAGGGCCTTCTCAGCAGTGGCCCCTTGGCTATGGAATGCCCTCCCTGGGGATATTAGATCAGCCCCCTCCCTTTTAACATTTTGGAAAAAAGTCAAGACGTGGCTTTTTGAGCAAGCGTTTGCAAACGCAGAGTAACTGACATAGGAATATGAAATGACTAGATGATGGGACTGGACTATGCTTTTAATAAGGAGACACTAATGACTTATGCTTTTATTGATGTTGTTATGGTTTCTATTATATGTTAATGTTTGTAATTGTATTTATGGTATTGTTGGCAATGAATTTTGCCCTGTAAACTGCCCTGAGTCGCCTGTGGGCTGAGAAAGGCGGTATACAAATACAGTAAATAAACAAATAATCTGCATGTTTACACTATAGAGCAGGCATGGGCAAACTTCGGCCCTCCAGGTATTTTGGAGTCCAACTCCCACAGTTCCTAACAGCCGGTAGACTCTAGGAATTGTGGGAGTTGGAGTCCAAAATACCTGGAGGACCCAAGTTTGCCTATGCCTGCTCTAGAATGAATGCACTTTGGCACCATTATAACTGTGAAGGCTCAATGCTATAGAATCAGTGCATTTACACTGTAGAATTAATGCACTTTGACACCACTGTAACTGCCATGGCTCAGTGCTATGGGATCCTGAAAGTTGTAGCTTTGCATCGTCTTTAGCCCCCTCTGCCAAAGGGCTCAGTTGCCTCACCAAACTACAAATCCCCTGCATAGCTCTGAGCCCTGGCAAGGAAAGTGGTGTCAAACTACAGTATAGATCAGGCATGAGCAAACTTCAGCCCTCCAGGTGTTTTGGACTCCAACTCCCACAATTCCTAACAGCCTACTGGCTGTTAGGAATTGTGAAAGTTGGAGTCCAAAGGACTTGGAGGGCTCAAGTTTTCCCATGCCTGTTGTAAATACACCCAAAATAACAAAAGACGTCACGTGTAGCTTTCTTTCCCCTTTCTGAATAGAAACGTGGCTCCTGTTTTTCTTTCTCTTCAAATGCACATTGAAGTGGGTCGAAAGAAGGGGGTGCAAGGGTTTGGTTTGGTTTTCTGAGGCCACGGTTGAGTTGACATTTGTCATATTTCATCTCCCGGCTCAAGCAGATCTTTTTTTAATCTTTATGGTGTGTAAATAAAGATGGCTGTTGTTGACAGTTTTAAAGACACCCAGGTCCCTTTCCGGGGCTGAGAATCAGAGAAGTTTGGCTCTGTTTGGCTGGTGGGGGCATCTGGGGAAAAAGAGGGGCTTGGGAGGACCACAGAGGGCAAGGCTGGCATGGCCAGGACATGCCGCCCCTGAAAAGCTTGGAAAGACATGTGTTTGAACTGCGGGTCAGAGAGAAGAATGGCAAAACGTTCTGGAGCTGCAAGGAGGGAAGAAGGGGAGGCATGGAAATGACATCAGCCAGCCACCAGAATAGGAAGCTTCACACTGCAGTCGGAAAACACCTCTCCATTGAGTTTATTAGGCACCTGGACTCCCAGGTCCGTTAGTAGGTACGCTTTGTCACCTATGGATGTGCTGCACCACAATTCACATTGTTCCCACCCAGCTGGCATTCATGGTCAATAGGGATGATGGGGGTCGTTGTCCAACTCATCTGGGAAGTCTCTGTGTTGAAATATTTGGAGGGTGTGTTGTCAAAGGTTTTCATGGTCGGAGTCACTGGGTTGTTGTGAGTTTTCTGGGCTGTATGTCCATGTTCCAAAAGCATTCTCTCCTGACGTTTCACCCACGTCTATGGCAGGTAACCTCAGAGGTTGTGAGGTCTGTTGGAAGCTAAGCAAGTGGGGTTTATTTATCTGTGGAATGTCCAGGGTGGGAAAAAGAAGTCTTCTTTGTTTCCGGCAAGTGTGAATGTGGCAATTGGTCAGCTTGATTAGCATTGAATAGCCTTGGAGTTGGAGGGTGAATTGGAGTATGTTAGTGTCTAAGCTTTGCACTCTCTAGACATGCTGGTCTACAGTTCCCATCACTCCCACCCAGCCAGTATGATCAATAGGAATGATAGGGGTTGTAGGCAGGGTCGTAGCCAGAAAAAAATTTCGGGGAGGGTTGACAATTTCAGCGGGGGAGAGGGGGTAAAAAATTCAGGGGGGGGGGGTTGAAATTGGGGGGGGGTTGAAACCTGCCTCCTAGCTCACGCTGAAGCAAAGAGGCAGAGCAACCTTCAATAGCCCGCAGCTCCGCCCCTGTCAACCACCTCCACCAAGTCTGGCCTCCTTAATGAGAGCATTCAACACACATACACACAACTTGGTTGCTTCACTAAATTGGCTATTGCTGCAAGTAATGACAGTGTGAATAAATTGTCAATATTTGCTTGAGATAGTGCTTACAGTTCTGGAGGGACTCTTAATTTTTTTGCATCTCATAGACTTAGCATGGGGATTTGGTTAACCAGTTAAAATTCATGAGTAAACCAGTTTTTTTTACCTGAAAAATTTCGGGGGGTGAACCCCTAAAACCACCCCCTCGCTACAGACCTGGTTGTAGGCCAGCTCACCTGAAAGGCACCAACTTTGAGAAAGCTGTGTTATTATTATTATTATTATTATTATGATGATGATGTTGTTGTTGTTGTTGTTTATGTTTATTGTGCATTACAATTGCATTGTAAGCCTGAAGGCAGGGAATGTGTTTGTTGATCTTTTAATTGTAAAGTGTCACGATACAAATGCATTATTAAAGTAAAGGTAAAGGTTTTCCCCTGACATTAACTCTAGTTGTGTCCGACTCTGGGGGGTGGTGCTCATCTCCATTTCTAAGTCAAAGAGCCGGTGTTGTCTGTAGACACCTCCAAGGTCATGTAGCCATCATGACTGTATGGAGTGCCGTTACCTTCCCACCAGAGTGGTACCTATTGATCTATTCACATTTGCATGTTTTTGAATAGCTAGGTAGGCAGAAACTGGACCTAACAGCGGAAGTTCACTCCACTCCCCAGATTCGAACCGCTGACCTCTCGATTAGCAAGTTCATCACCTCAGCAATTCAACCAGCTGTGCCAACAGGGGCTTTGTTGATCTTTTAATTGTAAAGTGTCACGATACAAATGCATTATTAAAGTAAAGGTAAAGGTTTTCCCCTGACATTAACTCTAGTTGTGTCCGACTCTGGGGGGTGGTGCTCATCTCCATTTCTAAGTCAAAGAGCCGGTGTTGTCTGTAGACACCTCCAAGGTCATGTAGCCATCATGACTGTATGGAGTGCCGTTACCTTCCCACCAGAGTGGTACCTATTGATCTATTCACATTTGCATGTTTTTGAATAGCTAGGTAGGCAGAAACTGGACCTAACAGCGGAAGTTCACTCCACTCCCCAGATTCGAACCGCTGACCTCTCGATTAGCAAGTTCATCACCTCAGCAATTCAACCAGCTGTGCCAACAGGGGCTCCATATTATTATGATTATTTTTTTTGTCGTGTCAGGAGTGACTCCTGGTGTGAGAGAATTGGCCGTCTGCAAGGACGTTGCCCAGGGGACGCCTGGATGATTTTGATGTTTTTATCATCCTTGTGGGAGGCTTCTCTCATGTCCCCGCATGAGGAGCTGGAGCGGATAGAGGGAGCTCATCCGCCTCTCCCCGGATTCGAACCTGAGACCTGCGACCTTCAGTCCTACCAGCACAGG